GAGTTTTGGCCCCCTGTGCAATTGAGTTTGACACCCCTGCTTTAGAGTGAAACCTGGCCCCATTGAAGTCAACAGCAGAACACTCAATGAATTCAACAGAGTCAGGATTTCACCCTTCATCTAGACTCCTACTCTCACTGTCTGACTGGCGTAGTGTTTCTTTCTATGTTTTCAACTTTCCTCTGCAGTTGAGTTTAAACAACTAAATGTTTCAAGTATTTCAAAAACCATTATGGGGAAAGGTGGATCCAGTTTGGTCATCAACCACAATGCCCTCACTTGTAACTCATTTTGACATGCGGTAAACTCTTGGTATGCATCTGATAGACCTGGGAGAGGTGAAGACATCTATAAGCATTTGGGATAGCAAATGTACAAGAAGGTATTTTTGCTTCATAATTACCGCACTAAAATGGTGAGCATAACAAATGGGTGATTTTTAAAACTGTTAAACAATCTTAAGTGGAGTTTATTGGCAAATGTCCCAGTGTTGTCTCACTGCAACATATCACATCAGCATGTATCAGTCACTCTGCCTCAGATCCCTTAATATGGACTAGAATTTTTTTTGTTCCTACTATACTTTGAAAACTTCTTCTTTTTCTCCTTAAATCTTCTGGCTACAGATTTCTCCTTGTGTTACTTTGCTTCCCTTATCAATTTTCTACAATTTCCTTCCTTACTTCCTAGATCAGGACCATTCCATAAAAGTTTGAAAAAAAATCTTTCTCAAATATTTTAAAGTCAATTACAAATACTTCAGATAGATAGACAGACAGAGCATCAAGGACTTTTGTCAAAAACAAATGTCACTTTTCTGTTTGATCTGTTTTATATTAGGAATTTATTAAATTGCTAGTGGCCCTTATAAGCAGGTAACAAGTCTACTTCCCCAGCTATTCTGATCCTCAGGAACCACAACTGGTACGTCATTAGATTGATTACTAGTGTTTCAAAGTAGCAGAGTAGATCAAAACACAGTACAGAACTTTTAGTGAGCAGTAGCCAGGTCCACATGGACACTTAGTGCATGGCAGGCTAGTGCAAGGTAGATTTATACCCCAGTTTGCTGAAACTGTGTTAATATAGACAAGCCCTAGGAATCATGCCTGGGATCTCTTCTAGGAAACAACAATCTGTGCACAAAGGGCTTCATCTCTCTTGAGGAGAGACAGAGATAGGCTGGCTTCTACCTAGTTTCCTATACTGTGCCCATCACCATAGTATCATAGTACCTTGATTCCTGATGGCCTTGTCCATCACCATCAAGATACTTATCTTCTCCTGGCGCCACACTGGCTTGTCTGTTTTCTCCCAGCACCTTTTAGGGAAGTATTTGGGCAAAACCAGCCAACCATTATCAGTGGTGAAAGAAGACTAATGTGAACGAAAATCAAGAAAAGATTGTTCTTTCCTCAAATCTTGTGCAAGCTGGGATTGTAACAGGCAGGTGGCAGTTTTCCAGAGTACTGAATGAGGGTTACAACAAAGTAAAAATAAAAAAAGATAAGGAGTGAAACTAGAGGGTGCAGCTAATTGGCATCCAAGCATGGTTAAGGAGAAATTTACAAAATCACCATGGCAAACCTCTACTCCGAAAAAGGACCCAGGGAGCCTCAATATCCACAGCGAGCAGAAGAGCCTTCAATTGTAAGGTCTCATGCAAAAGATCTCCCCCATGATATTCCCCATGGAACGCCAAGGTAATTATTTCAGAAGGACAAATGGCTGAACTGAGCCTACTAGAATTGGAATCTGTGGATCCTGGGAGTATAAGTGTTACAATACTGATGCTTACTACATGAATGGCCTGCTTTTCAAAGGTGCCTAGTGCCTCAAACACCCACGGAAGCCAGTGGAAGCTGTATGTTCTGAGCACCTTTAAGAATCAGGCCACTGGCCATCACCTCGAGTCATTCAGATTCTGAGCCTGCAAAAATAAGTTCTAAAATCATGGCACTGATATGTAAAAATCAGTGCTTTCCTCTGTAACTATAAACCATTGATAGCAGCAGCACAGGAAAGTACACCTTTTGGGGAATAGCTGGGGAAAGTGCAGATTGTGTTCTCATTGCCACGTTTGCAGCGGATTGAGTTTATCCTGTCATTTTAAAAATAAATGTGAAGTGGAAGGTCAGATCGTCTGTAGTTACAAATTAACCTTGACAATAATTGTTTGTCTTACCTCTGTGAGGAGAATTTCATTCGCCATTGTGATTTGTATTCTTCTCTTTTTGCTGTTCTCTTTGTGCCCCATAGTGTCTGAATGTCCAATTACTTACACCCATGTCAATCGGAAGTACCTCTGCTGAAGTCAGTGGAGTTGTACTGGTATAGAACTAGTGTGATCAGGAAAAGAATCAGTTCCTGTGTTTTGCTTTATTAGGGTTCTCTTACAGTGCTAGTGATTTTTTTAAGCCAGTATTTTTTATGTTTGCTTACAAAACCTGGACATGTGGCTCTTGGACTTGGCCCAGTCAGCTGTCACTTGTTTCTTTCTTGGGTTACCATGCCTGAGAAAGAAGGAGAACATTGTGGACTGAAAGCAATGGCAATCATGACAACAGTAGTTTCATTAGCACTGGAGCAGCTTTACATCATTCCCAAGGTCCTGTTGGGGATTTCACAGTCCAGTCCATGGGAACTTTAGTGTTTGTGTGTGAGACACACACACACAGAGACAGAGAGAGAGAGAAATCGGTGTAGTGTATATATATATAATATATATATATTCTCTGCCATTTCTGTCTTTTTTTAAGATTAAAAAAAAAGACAGAAATGGCAGAGAATATTATTATACCAGAAACAACTTGGACAATCTTCTCCGATTCTGGTGTATTCTGGGTCAGATTCTTATGTCTGCCTCCCTCTTTTCCCCTCATCTCTGCCCCCCTCAAAGTTTTCCAGCTATTTGTATGCACATCAAACCTGTCCTCTGTGCTCTCCACACTGGCTTCTGAATCAAGTTCTAAGTCTCGGTCCATATCTTCAAAGCTCTCCATGGCCTGGGCCCAAGATATCTTGGGCTAGCTAACGCTCCATGATGAAGAACATGATCAACGGCTATGCTCCTCTGGCTCAACAAAACTCTCAGTAATAAGGATAAAGCTAGTCTGTGTGGGAGGCAGAACTTTCTTGGGGACTGGGAGCAGTCTAATATTGTGGAATGCGCTCTCCACAAGAACTAAACCTCTCTCCATAAAGCTCTCTTCTTTCTGCTCCAAATGCAAGGCACATTTTTTAACCTTGCCTACTCTAACATAAACTCATAGCAACTAGTATATTTGTTTAAAAAAAAAACACTTACCAAAAACAAAATACTCCTCTGCTCATGCTTCTTCCTCTGACCTTGTATACAACATCTGGGGAGAGGATGAGAGAACAAACAACATGTGACAGATGTGTAGTCATGTTGCTTAATGCACTGCTAGAGGGTGTTAAGATACTCCACTGATAAATGCCAAACAAAAACCTGTACAGGATAGAATAGGAATCCAAAAATTAATCTAAATACCGTATTGTGGCCACCATTTTAAGTAAGATGCAGCTGTCTCCCAAAGACTCACCCTGATGCAGGAAACCGATCACTTGATTCACCCTATTGTCATGCCCTCCAATCACCTTACTACACATTCTGATTCATTAATATGGCTTGTACTTGGGTCAGAAACCCACCCTGAAACCATGCTGCGTTTCAGGAGGCCAGTACTCCAGAGATAATGACTAAGGCTGGGGTAGAGATGATAACATCTTCGGGTGCACATCTGGTCAGTTATAATGAACTGCCTGAATCCGTGAGAATGGAACCCATAGAACTACCTGTGTCCAACTCTCTCATTTGCAATTTATTCCTCTCTCTTTCTTATATTGGATTCTTTCCCCTTTCTTCTGGAGATTTTAATTGTAAGATGTTGAAATTTCCCCTTGAAGAATTTCTTCTGCATGACCTGGTGATAATGTTCACAAAACTCATCATCTCGGAAGATTTCCACATTCACCTGGGTAGTGTCCCTGAAATGGTAGCACAAAACCTATCTGAACTCTCAATAAAAGTTTCTCAAAGGTAATCTCCAGACCTCATACATAGCTGGCCATACTGGGATTGGATGTGGACATAAGGAACTTCCATCAGACTGAAGGTGGATTTAAGAAACCCAGGAATTACCACTTATCCTGCTTGACTTGCAGGTAGAAATAACTCACCTAATTGCAAAAATCCACCACCATGGTCCAACCCAACACATTCTCGGAACTTGCCAACTTCCAACACTCATTCTATATAAGGAACGTTGCACCCAAACAAGAAGTAAATGAATGAAAAATGAGTTCATTAGTTTAAATTAAAGAACAGAATACCCGGATCCCAGGGAGATTTCCCCCCAAAAACTAATAGTGAACCGTGAAAAATAACATATTAAAATGTCTTTGGCATAAAATGCAATTTGCATTTTTAAAATGTGTCTGAAATTTTATACTCATTTGTATTTCATGTCAGGAATTAGATTCTAAAAACCCACAACAGCAGCTGTGATAAGTACTATTGCCCTGTAAGAAAGCGATGTGCATACTTTCATACTATATAGCATTGCTTGCAACTTCTGCCATTTTAAGGTTTGATTTGCCCTTGATACTGTAAAACTAGGGGTTCTAAAGGAATCCAAACATTGTAAATGTGTAATAATAAAAAAGTGCTCTCTGCTGTGCAGCTGACCTCAAATACAACATCTTTTCAGGGTCCATTATATGCACCTGTGTATTGGCAGTAGACCCCGAAAAGCCAGCAGTAACAAATAAACGTACTGCATCTAGAAGTACTGAATAGTTCACTTGAACTGACTGCAGACCTGGCTTCTAACTGAGCAAGGTGCAGTTATAATGCAAACCTCCTGACTCAGCTCTGCCAAAGAACTTCATACTGACGTGCTGTGCCAGCGCTGGATTACACCAGAGCAAATGGTACCAATAGCATAGGGTACAGGGTGGCTTGGAAGCTTCCCTAAAGCCAAGGGGAGCTGAAGGCACTCAGCACCCCCCAGGGCTTGGGAAGTGGACTATATGGATAAGACTGACACTCATAAAACTCATTTTGCTTTTGCAAGGCTGGTGTTCAGTTCTAAAATATTTCTGTGTTATGCAACCACCCAACTTAGCTTGGCCTGTTGCTTTATATTAACTGTGTAAACACTAAGGCTGCCTAGAAATTGACAGGTTTCAGAGTAGCAGCCGTGTTAGTCTGTATCCGCAAAAAGAAGAACCGGGGTACCTGTGGCACCTTAGAGACTAACAAATTTATTAGAGCATAAGCTTTCGTGGACGACAGCCCACTTCTTCGGATGCATATGAAGAAGTGGGCTGTAGTCCAC